TATACTATAGTATATATCAACAATTAGGTTACTGTATAACAGACGTTAGTAAAATTATTTATTACAACAGATTTTAGAATACTAATAATTTTAATTATTGCTCTAAGAAAAAATGGCTACAAATTCAACTGCTAAAAAATTTTTGAAAAAAATTACCATCAACACACAAAATACATACCATCAACATGGCCAAAATTATCCTGGAATTAAATGTACTAAAAAACGTCTAAAAACTACCATTCATACTATTTATCTTCCCATCCTCGATTATTTAGCAAAAATAAAAAATAAATTAAAGATATATTTTCAACTAAAAATAACCCTTTTGTGGGTCAAAAATCACTGGTTGGTTGGTTGTCACAAATTTTTAAAATGACTTCTAATAAAAAACATATAAAATCAATTTTATAAATAAACTTTTTTTAATATAAATATACAGTTTATAATTAATTAAAACAAACTGGTTAAATAACTTGTGATGATTAAAGCACAAAAAATACCTAGATGTATTATAGATATGTTACTAATTGATCAGTTAAGTGAATCTAAAATACTTTGTTATGCGTAACAAAATACACTCCCAAGCATCTTGGTCAAAAAAAACTGGAAACGAGGGTAGACTTAATGGAATTGTTTTGGCTTTAATACAACATTTTAATATAATTTGCTTATTTTTCTATGCCGTGCCTTCTCGTACATATGCAAAAAACGACGCGATGAGATTTTTAATGCGAAAATTTCTTTTCTTATTTTAAATACATGCCCTGGCAGACGCGACAACAGTAATATGCTTTTAAGAGAATTATTATTTCAGACATGCTTCCCTTTTTTGCCTCCATACTACGGATTTCTAAATAGGATGTACATTATATAATCAGTAGTGGTGTCTATCATTCTGTTCAGGGTATAAAGTTGGATAAAAGACGCTTTGCTGGATTTTGAAGCAAAAGGATCAAAATGAACACTACTATGTCTGCGAATATAATTAAAGTAGAGATATAATATATCATGAGTTAAAAATTCATTTTAAGTAGGTATATATATTTTGTCTAAATTTTCAAATAAAATATTTATTACCAGAAGTTGCAATATCACAAAAATTACTTAAATATAAATATCTTCCCGCAGATAGTAATTGTCAAATTTATATTTTGAATCAAAAATTAAAATTTGTGCATATCTTTACGTTTCGAAGGTTTCTAAACATTCTGGCACACTTTAGAAAATTCCACCGATGTGTGTTTGTGTGTATGTGTGTGTAGTGTATGTAAGTACGGATACAATTTTTCGTCGACGTTTTCGTAAGCACTGATTAACCGATTTGAATCATTCAAAAAACATATGATTCCTATTCATAGGGAGGTTATTAGTTTTTGTCACAGACAGGATCAGCAGTTAGGAGATACAGGGTATGAGTTCAGAAAATTGAAATTCAAATCTTGCGAAAACTGGGCATTCGATTAGATTGATTGGAAAAGTATTGAATTCGTGTTAAGGTCGAGGTGTGCTAATTCGTTTTTTGGAAAGGCAGGGCAGACCGTTTTGGAGGTACGGAGCAAAATGTGCGTCAAATAACCGTTTTGAAAGAACGGATCAACCGAATTGGATGTTTCAAAAAGCATTTGATTTGTATTGACTGGGAGAGGTTTGTTGATTAGTTTCTGGCAAAAGCTGGTCCAGGCACAAAAAAGAGCAAAAAATATCCATTTTGAGAGTACAGAACATCCGATTAGAGTGATTCAAAAAGTACTGAATTCGCTTTAACGGGTGGGTAGACGTACAGAATAGTTTGTGACGAAGGCAAGTCTAGCCATTTAGGAGATACCAGGCAAAACGTGCAAAAAATAGCAGTTTCCGAGAGAATGAGGCATCCGATTAGAATGATTAAACAACACTGAATTTGCAAGTCCAGCCGTTTCGGAAAGAATAACAGTTTTTGAGAGAACGGAGCATCCGATTAAAATGATTCAAAAGGCATGATTAGTTTCTGAGAAAGGCATGTCTAGCGGTTTCAATTTTTTGGAACTTACAAAATTTTCAATAAAAAAATATTTTCCAAGGTTTCAAAAAAAAAACTACTTTTTTAATTCAAAACTTAATTTTTCATGTTCAGATAATTTCATAAAATTTGTTACCTATCATATTCAGATAATTTTATAACATTTGTTTCATAATTTTCAACTTCCCGTAAATAGTAATCACAACAAATTTGAAAATGAAATTTGACAAGATAAAGAACTGATTAAATTTTTGAGAAGGCAGGTCGAGCAGTTATGGACTCTAGATAAAAATAAGTTACAAGACTATCATTTGACGGTCAAAAATGTTTATAGGACATATGTACATCAAATTATCAGATATTTTATAAAGATTTTAATAATGTGTACACATTTTATGTAATTTTTTTTACGTTCCGTACCAAAATTTTTAATTACTGTACGAGAAGTTCCAGCAATTTGCATTAAGGCACGATGCCATGCATCCCACTAGTACTGCGTTTACTTCATCAACATACAACAATATAAAATTTCATTCTGGTATGTATTTACTTCACATCAGTCTATATTTTACTTAGGTTATTGATATTTTGACTTCCAACGAAAACAAGAAGTAATTCCGAAGTTGGCGTAATTTTATTAGAGTCACTGGTTTAATATGCATGTTTTTGGTTTTAAAAACTTTCTTAAAATCTCTCCACTGCGGAAGTTTTGTATTAAAAAGTTTTTAAAAGGGCATTTATATACGTGCATGTTTATTATACTGCGGGTTATTACGAGATGAAAATGTAAGGCATAAAATTACTTCTTTGGCGAAAATACTCAGAAAGAAATGCGCTGTACGCTGTAATATCCTATTAATGGACGGAATGTAGTATAATGACTGTATTAAAAAGATTCTAAAAAAAATCGTGATTGTTATTTGTTTTTATGCCCAAAGTAGATATTAAAAAATATTTGCTCTCGCAATGCATACTACAATTTTTGCTTTTATAAGAATTTCATATTGCGCAGAGATGGTATTAATAATGATTCACTATATTGTTATGTAGTTTTATATTCAATGAAACTATTTAATGATCTGCTATGGAAATCTAATAATTGTACAAAATCAGGAAAAATGTTCTTCGTTATTGTACAAATGATAAAGTACGAGTATCCTATTATATTTGATATCGATGTTCTTATTATTGTAATGTGTTCGAAATAAAGTATCGATATAATTGGTTTTCATAGAGTTCTGCATAAACCATCAGTCACCAGAATATATGATATTATAATTTGTCCTGAACTCAAAAAATGAATCGTATTTTTTTAATTATGATTTAATTTTTATTACTTTGTCATCTGGAAAATATCAATATTATTATATATTTAATTACATGCAACTTTGGTATTTCTTGTTGATTATTTAACTATGTATAGTCAGACAACAAAATAATAACAATAGAGTTATAAAAAGGTATGACCTAAAACTCCAAAATTTTATCTTGATTTTGACATTTCAGTAGTATATATGAATTTTGACTTACTTTTAGTTATATTTTAATAAAAAACGTTGTTAATTTCGACATTTTAGAAAATTAAAAATACATTTAAAAAAAAGGTTATTTTTTAGGAGGACAAATTTAATATTGTTTAAAATAAAGGACTAAAAATAATTTTCATCCAACAAATAAAAACAAAATCACACTACATCATTTACACTTCATAAACATTAAATTGCTCATTTTATTATACATTAATATATTTATTTAGGTATCAGTAACTGTAATTTATAATCATTATAATTACTATTGTATTTATATGTTTATATAGTATTATAAATAACAGTAACTATTAGTTTGAATTTCATATTTTATGTAACATAAAAATAGCTTAATTTATGCTGTGACTATTTATATTTGTTATATGTAATAAAAAATAAAAAATTAAGAATGCATATTAAAATACGTTATTTACCTAATTATACAAATAAATTTATTAGCATATTCTTCTTGATCATGTATTAAGAGCAAATTTGTTTTTATATCGATTAAAATATTTCATAATTAAAATGCAAAACAATATGTATGTAATCTAAACAATGAACCAGAATTTTCAAATTCAAAAACTTTTCTAGAATTTATTTATTCATCATTTGGGGATAGTGCAGATTTGTTTTATGAGAATATCAGACGACCCGTTTCTTCATTATTCAATGTTTTTAACGATTTTGATAAAATTATAAACAAATATAGATTACATAATTTTAATCAACATCCTTAAATATTATAGGCCTACTATAAGTGATTTATATACCAATAATCATTTTAATGTAAGCCATGAGAAAAAATGTCAAAATTCTACCGTCAAAATTTTAGTTCAAATCTGAATTTTATTTTTTACTAATTAGGTCAAAATATAAACGAATTAAGTAAAAAAAATCATTTTATTTCTATTAATAAGGGATCGTGCTGATTAGATTTTGGCAAAGGCAGGTCCTGATAGTACGGAGATATGAAGCAAAGAGTGCAAAAAATGGAAATTAAATTTTTGGGAGGTCGGAGAATCCAAGTTTCACTTGTATTGTCGTAATGAATGAAACTGATTAAGCTTTCTGAGATCCAGAAAATGGTAAAATAAAGTGCCATCCAATATAAATGGCTATCAAATCTTTCCAAAAATATCTTTATTTAAAATAGGCATTTTTTTTATGTTCAATTTTTCAAAATGTGTTCAAATTATCACAGAAATTCAAAAAAATTATTAAAAAATATCTAATATTTGTCTTCTGAACTTTTAAAAATTTTGATTTACGGTACGGGAAGTTCCAGAAATCTGCATTAAGGCACGATGCCATGCATCACGAGTGTTTTCATTATTTTGAAAGGATTTTAAATAATGATACAGTTTAAGGTCGTCATAAATTAATTTGATTATAATTTTTATTTTGAATTACTCAATTGCTGTTGAGTAGAAATGAATGAATTTAATCTAAAATATCGTTTCTTCTATTTACAGTGGCCTATTTAAATCTCGGAGCCTCTCTAATAGCGTCCGGCAGATGTCAGGAAGCCGCAGCGGTTTTGCGACGTTGTTCGCGGTTAGACGGCTCTGGCCTACGAGACAGGGCCGCACATGAAGCAGCAAGGCTGGGTGCCCTTTTGCAACTGGGTGGATTGTACTCAGAACAAGGAAGGCTGCAGAGGGCCTTGGCTGTCTATAGAGAAGCTTTGCACACGCTACCTGAGAGGTATCCTCCGCAGGTAAGAGCTATGATTATTGTCCTATTAATTTTTATGTTTATCCCCAATGAGCCTGCATAGGCTTTATGAAACAATCGAAATTTTTCAATAATTTAGCAAATAATTATGTATTTGTGCGTGAGATGACGTATAACTCTTAATTCTATAACAAAATACAGACGACCAATATCAAAATTTATGATCTTTGCTAAACTTTTCGACCTGAATTAACATTTTCATACTAAGAACTACTAAACATTGTAGGCCACTGTCACTCGTACTTAAAAATCACATAATTCATCAATACCAAAAAATAGTTAAAACAGATTTTGTTCAGAGTGTAAAACAAAAATGCGGTCCTTAGAGGGTCAACATTTAATGTAAAAAAGAAGTACACAAAAAAGTTGACTTAAATTTTTTGGAAAATATTGTAAAAATTGCATTTTTAAGAATATTGATATATTTGAAAATTTTGTTTTTTTGAATAATTTTAATGATTTTATATTTTGTATTTTTTTGAAAATTTTGGTCTTTTTTTCGAAGCAATCGCACTGTGTTAGCTGCATAGAGGAGAAATATAGAAGCGCGTATGCGCCGAGTCTTACGGATAAACTTTGGTACAAAACCCATAAAAATGTAAAAAAAATTTATTTACATTTTGGATTAAATTTCTTATGAATCATAATTTATTATTTTGCGTGCAAGTTTCTAGTGTAACAACTCGCTTATTTAAAATTTTATACGTATACTCTTAATCTTACCTCAGGCTGCATGAATGTCAGCATTTCTTCGCAAATTGCAGAGTACAATTGTTTACTTCCAATTTGTATTTCCAAAGATCTAGTAAAATTAGAACTTCAGACATAAATGTTGTGATCTTTCAAGTGAAACATTGCAAAATTTGGCGCAACACTGTTAACACATATGAAACACTTTTTAGTCCATAAAACGGCCCAGAAGCAAAATTCAGTATCACTACTTTATTGTCCTTGTGTTTTTTAATGGTTTTTGTTCACTTGTTATGGCTAATAACATCTATTTCCTATGATTTCACGATTTGTGAAGTTGACCCTTTGTTCTAGCGAGTTTTTATTAGTTGATTTATGTTTGAAATGTTCTTGAGGACCTCTGTTCTCAAAATTGGACTTCTGCTGAAAATAAAAAAAATAGTCAAAAAAAAATTTTATCAAATATATGACTATAATATATAAAAGCAAAGAAAATACTAAAAGCTGTATGTTCATTACAAATATAAAAAAAATCATATGTCATTAAATATGAAAATAAATAGAATATATAAACTTCTCCTAAAAACTAATCACAACTTCTCCCCTTCATTACAAATTGAATGTTTTTTTGGATCATTCAAATCGGATGCTCCGTTCTCTCAAAAACATCTATTTTTGGACTATTTGTTCCGTATCTCCGAAACGGCTGAATCTGTTTTTGTCAAAAACTAATCAGCATATATCCTCATCAATAAGAATCAAATATTTTTTGAATCATTTAAATCGGTCGATACGTGAGCCCGAAAACGTGGACGAAAAAATTTATTCATCCATACATACACACACACACACACACATCCAATTTTACTAAGGTATGCGAAGATGTTCAGAAACCTTCAAAACGTGAAGATATGCAAACATTTTCATTTTGGATTTTTGGACGATTACAATAAATTAATAATATGGTTCATATGTTATTATTATTTCATTCCCATATAATCAAAAAATCATAAAAATTTTCAATTGTAATTATTTTTGGCTGGTGCCAAATTAAATTGCAAACTGTCTGACAAAACCATATAATATTAAGCATTAATATTAATTTGACGTTATATAGAAATAGTAAATAAGTTACATTGATTAAACGGTCATAAAATATCATGGTTTCAATCAATATACGTCAAATTTTAGTAAAAAAAAATTTCCTATATGATTGGATATCGATACCAGATACCAATCAATCACTTCTATACCAAATTTTGTTTCATTAATCACGTGCATATCATATTTATATTTGAATGAATATAAATGCTGTAAACAATATTCATGTAAAGCACATATTATGCGATTTTAATCACTGTTTGCATCCCAATTATAATAATGAACACCTGTCTAGTTTGGTATTTTAAAACATACTCGTACATCACTTATGCACATATCAATTTACTAATATTGCATTAGAAAATTCAAATAAAATTTTATATTATTTCACATGAAGCTTTTAGCAAATATATCTTGTCTATATAAACCTCTACAAGTAACATGATCATTAAATCGGTTGAACACGAAAGCTTTATGATAGCAGATGTTATAAAATAAAGTGTATTACACATCATGTTTTAACCTGTAAAATTTTTACAAAACAGCTTAACTGACGCATTTTATAACTGGGTATAAAAAATTCAAAGACAGATATCGTTTTGCAAGTACCGAGTTTTATGAGAATTTTATTAGTAAGTTGACAAACATATCGTAATAATTTATGATGGGAATGAAGTATAAACCCCATTCGGACTCTGGAGGAATGATACGGTTTTGATGTACTTTTAACGTTATAGATTTATAACCTGATATTTTTTGTCTGAAATATGTTGATTATTTATAACAAGAGACAAAAAATATGAGTGCATATAATTCTTTATTTCTTTGTTTTCCGAGGATAATAATAAACTTCTGTCTTAAAACTGTATTTTATACATTCAAGATGGAATTATTACTATTGTTTTGTATGGAATGTCTTAGCTCTAACATACCTGCAAGTACAAATATTTTTCTGAGAGTCTTTAAAGAAATTATGTTTTTAACATCAGATAAGTACATAGTTTTTATTAGGTTGTCAAATATACCCCTTCCGCTTTTTTGCTCTTGGTTTATAATTCAAAAAGGCGGAAGGGAGATATTTGACAACCTATTATATTAACCAATTTTCCGTGAAAACTTTATATATAATTTTCTTTTAATTTCAATATCAGTTACAACTGGTAAATAACATCTTGAAAAATTAGATATAAATTAAAAGGTGTTATGATTAGAAATATAATACAAAATAACAGTATTTCGATTAAAATGATGATAATTTAATATGATAATGAAATTAATAAATAAACTAAATAAAATTTATAAAGAATATAAATGATAATAGTGAAACAATAAAGTACAATAAAAACAAATAGCAAAAGAATAATTTTAAAAATAGCAATAATTTAAATTGAAGGCATAAAAACGTTTTAGTTCGAAACTGTTTGAAAATCCGTTTTTGACATAAATTAAAACTAGTAAAAAATGGTAAAAAAATATAAGAAAATTATTACTTTATTAGCGGATAAAATGAATATACTTATTATAAAACTGCATAAAAGTCTGCATTTTAAACAAAATAAAAATAATAAATTTGTAATTAAAGAAAAACATAATAAATAAAGAGCAATATCAAAAATCATTTAATTTACTAATATGTTCATAAATTGTAATATGTATACCAGGTTGTTTAAAAACTAATTTCTTAGTAATAATACCTTTATATGAAATTATTTTTCATATAATCTGATATTTGAATCATTTTTTATACCAAAATCAATTTGAATTTCTATATTAAACTTAATAAATTGTACTAAATCCTGAGTTAAATGAAAACAACTATTCAAGCTATTAAATTCAACACTTTTTCGAATAATGTATTTTAAAACTTCAATAAAAATCTTATTAAAAGCAATTAGAAATATTTAAATCATTTATTAGGCACCTGAAAATCAATTTATTTATCGAAAATTCAACATTTCGTAATTAAAAATTTGTTTTACTAACAATTAAATGAATGAATTTAATAAAATTAATTATTATGAAACTGTATAAAAATTTCAAATTTTGAATAAAATAAAAATATTAAATTTGTAATTAAATAAAAAACACAATTAAGAAAAATCAAGATCTGAAATCATTTGATTTTAGTAATGATATTTCTATATAAAAATTATATGTACCAGTACCTGATTTCTAAATTATTTTTATACAAAAATCAATCTATTTTATATATTAAACGTTATGAATTGCAGTAAATTTAAAATTCTGATTTAAATAAAAAAGCTATTATAGTTATTAAATTCAACACTATTTTGAAGTGTATTATGAAACTTTAATTTAAATATTATTACAAGTAAATAGAAAAATTTAATTTGTTTATTTAGAATCGGAATATCAATTTATTCATCGAGAACCCAGCATTTTGTAATGAAAAATTTATATTTTTATAATGCTTATAAAATGTTCTATTTTATCATCGACTCTTACCACATTTTTTGACGACTATACTGAGCTAGTTATGATTAATTGCCAATAATTAGAAAAGAATATATCGAAATTATCATTACAATTGAATATCTAGAAGCAGGATTTTTTACACTGGTAGTACAAACCCTCACAATAAAATCAAATTTAAGTGACTAATACAATAAAATCGATCACATATGATATAAATACAAATCACATTTACTAGATATTCAATATACGTTCAAATACTGTAAATTATGGTTAATTAAAATAACCATTTAATTTCTTCAGTGAAGTATTGTTAAAAGTTAATTAATTATTGTTTTGAATATAAGCAAAAAGGTGTAATAATATTAAGCTTAACTGTCCTAAAAAATAGATAAAATATCTCACATTATTTGGAATGTTACGAGCTTTTAGGTGCAACCTAGAACTTTGGTGCAATTATGACCATTGACCAGTTATTGTGGGTAATTTTTAGTAATTTTGTTCATTTAAACTTTGAAACCGTAAGTGTTAATTATATTTTACTAGGACCACAATCAAAAACAATAACACACTTATCAATAATTAGGACATTTTGTTAAACTATGAATTTAAGATATTTCAAATTGGTCGAATTTGAGAAGCACTCCTTCAACAAAAGCACTAAAGTGTCTTGGCGGATTTTGTCAAAAGTTGACGCATTTAATCAGGATTGTAAAATAGTAAAATACTTTATAATTTTATTATTAAAAAATTTCGAGT